GTCTGGCTAGGTGTTTAGAAAGACTAATAAGGCTGTCTCAGGTAGAATGAGTAGACTGTAACTATTTCTGATATTCAACAGCAGTATTTTACATGCATAAAATGTGTACATATTTCCTCAGCATAAAGCACTTGTCCACCTCAAGGACCAGCAGCAGCAAATGAGAAGAGTTAAATTCATTTCAGTTGCGCACGTGCCTGCGATTACTATGGAACAACAAAAGCAGCATTTTGCCATATAAGGGTTCAGCTGTTGGAGTTGACAGAATTCAGCCCAAGTGTTAAACTTTCAAAGCCATAGCCTGGGAAGTCGCAGGAGACTCTAAATGCCTTCTCAGCCCTAACTATAATGTTATACCCTCTTTGACAAAGAACAGATTGCTCTATCACAAAGCAATGTGAAAATAAGTGTTTGTTTTAGCTTGTGTTGGTCAAAGTCTGGGTGTATTAACAAACTCTCAGGGTCTAGGCAATCTAGGCTTTGGTTTTTTTTGCCCAGAGTATCTGATGTTGAACTATTTTGCCTGTAGGAATTATGCAGAAGATTCTGCTGAAGAGGAGAGTGAAGAAGGTGAGGAAGGTTCTGATGAGCAAGACGCTGAGGAAGAAGAGGAGGAGGAAGAAGATTATGAGGTTGCTGGACTGAAATGTAAGTCTGTTTACATGGTAAAGATGCAGCAGATCACAGTAGAACCCTTTCTTTCTCCACACAGAGGTCTGTGTCCAAGCTGAGGCTCTTGTCCTAAGTGTGGAAGCTTATCTTCAAGCTTTGGTATATGAGGGACAAAGCTTCAGATAAAGATGCACTCATGAGGTTAATATATACAGATTTTGGAACTGCCTGTCTTTGTGCTTCTTGCTGTTCTGTGATAGAGACAGTACAGGCAGCCATTTAAATAGTACATCAGCTCAAAGGAGTGGGGGCATTCAGGCATTCCATTGCCATCCACACTCCTTTGGGCACAGCTGAAGCCATTAAAATTGCTTCTAAGCCATCAGCAGGGCCTGCAACAGGGGAAGGGCTAGCAAGAAATAAGATTTTGAATGCAGGTAACTAAATTATGAAAAGGTTTTTCAGTTTGAAATGGGGACAGAGTTACAATAACGAACCCAGAGAATGAATTGCAGGCCTCCTTTCTCCACCCCTCCCAAAATGCAGGGCTAGGATATCTCTTCTGGAATGGGGGTGGCTTTCACAGGCCTGTAATTTGCCTTCATTTGCCAGTCCCTAGAGAATACTTGCCATTTGGGGTGCAGCTCACTGCCAGGTCGCTCGCTGCACAGCGAAAGTTAACTTGAGATGTGCCTGGGTTCTTTCCTGGGCACCTGAGTGGGCTTCAAAATGGCCCTCTGCAGACTCCCATTAAGTGATTTGTTTTTTCCTCTGTCAAACACAGCCCAGCTTTCCCCCCATAATTCACCTTGTTCATTCAGTGGGGGATTTGACATTGTTGCACCAGGTTTGATCAGAAAGCATGCAATTTAAAGAGCTCTTTGAAATGCAAGCAGACACCATTTGCTTTCAGTTAAAACATCACTGACCAAAGCCCTCTACTGATACCAGTGGTGGAATTCAGTGACAGACTCAGGACATGTTTCAGTGTTCTCCAGGGGTCTCTGAAGAGTTATGGGCATTCAGGCTTGCTGTTTCAGCCTTGCATATTGCCCCTTTTGTTTAATATCTGGGGTGTTCCTTGATACTCTAATGTAGGTCACTCTTTGTTCTATGAAGTATCCATGTCCACGTTTGGAATCTGTTCAGCTCTTCTTGCCTGCCAGGGCCAGGACCAAAGCCAGGGTTTTCAAACAATAGCAAAAGAGAGTTTACCATCACTAAAAATAAAGCATTAAACTCAACCCCTAGCTTTGAGGGGCATTAGCATGGAAAGGTCATTATAGAAAACTTCTTATTTTAATGGAGAAGTCCTCTTTAATCCTTGTGTAGCATTATCCTAAGGGATAGAATATAGAGCGTTGGATTGTCAGACATTTAACACATGCTGCAAATTTGACACGCAAGCAGGAGCAACACTGTACAGACGTGCCCCTGCCCTCACACACGCTCCTCCTGCAGGGGGCCTGGCAAGATGATTTATCAGCCAGGCCTGGATTAGAGGCCACAAGTGAACTACAACAGCATTCATGACCAGGTGGAAGGAGCTAGCCCTGGAAGGAAGGCCAGCACACACCCCCAGTACACAGGGGTCATGGGGGAAACTTAAGACAGGAGACAGTTCGTCACCACATTTGCATTCCCCTCCATTAAAAACTGTGACAGGCAGGCTGACAAATGGGCAAAAAGCATTTCTCTGGAACATCATGCACCAGCCCCAATACTGGGGAATAAAATTCCATTGTTTACCAATTCCGGCACATGGAGCAGCTCCCTGCTGGAGTAACTCGACACCCCTGTGTGCACACAGTTAGCTTTTCAGGGAGACTTAGCAACTGGCTTATCCTGCTGTGTGGGCCACTTGTAAATGCTTGTAAAGGCACCCGCTCAAGCAGCCACGCTCTGGCAGGGAGCAAGTGGACAACAGGAGAAAGCACAGTATTTCAACAGATTTGACTTGAATGCTTTCAAGGCTTGCTTTGCATCCCTCCATGCCTTCCCCACATCCTCCCAAACAGGGGCTTGGCACTCAAATCCAGGGTCTGAGGGACTTTCTGCTTTAACAGTGCACGAAGGTTTACCTGCACCAAGATATTCCTAAATCCCTCCCTGAAGGAGGGGGTCTGTTGGTTCCTGTAGTCATTCTTAAGGGACATCTTGCCAGCAAATGATGGCTTTTCTGGTAAAAGTGTGTTTGCCCACACATCTCACCGGGACAAGAATTGTGAGGAGTGTGGTAGATTCTAAGTATACCGGAAGGCTGGAGGATTTGTGAGGCGGGAGCTATTATTCAGTTGTGAGGTACTGGTGCTTGTGAGACCTTATGCTACAATATGATTGGGGCAGAAGTGGTGTATAGTCTCCACTCCACTGCAGAAGAGCACCAGGCATCTTGTAGTTCTCAGAGATTAGGTGCTTAGTTCTTGCGTCTCTGAGGGAAGTCTTTTCAGTAGCTTAGGGGGATGTAATACTTGAATTCTAATGTGAGGAGGAAAAGAAAGAAGCTGCAGAACATATGTCCATTATCAGCTCTGTTTCTGTGTTTAGAGAATGTGCATTTCTGTCCACATCCTTCCAAAATGAACCTGTGGTTGATTTTCAGTGAGACCCAGGAAGACAGCCAGGGGCAAGCAACGCATGTCTACATATCCTTTAAGGCAGGGCAGGCACCAAAGGAAGAAGCAATTGCTGCACACCACCAGGGGACCCCGGCAGCGGGCCACACCTGTTAATGGAGCAGACGTTGATGAACTGGTAAGAGCCAAATTGTCCCCAGGAGGCTGCTCAAATCATAAGTTATAAACCAAACAGGTGTCATACTTCCTCCCCCTCCCCTTCCCAAAGAAATGCTCTGCATTGTATTGTGAAATCCACAAAGGGCCAAGGTCGGGCTAACAAAGGAAGCATATCCTTAAGGGCCCAGTACAAACGGAGAACAGATATGCCAGGCATCCTTCCCCAGCCGCTTTCACACATTGTCCCCCTTGATTAGCAGGCAGCCTGCAGCTTGTTAAAGGGTTTTAAATAGTATCCATGTGTCTCTGCAGTGAGGTGGGGGGAAGAGGGGGTCCTGGATGGTGATAGAATGCCAGCAATGCAGGACCCTCACTCCCTGGGCTTGGCTGTTTTCTGACAGTTGTTGTCCTTTCGGTCACTCCCCAAACTCCAGGACATAATTTAGTTGGTTTAGGTTTCACTTGACATTTAAAGAATCAAACCTTGTGCGTTTGAAGATAGCTGGTCATGAGTGCGCGCACATGTGTGTGCACATGCGTGTCATAGGTAGGGTGGAACTGTAGGACTGTGCTGACTCCTGGGGAACGCCACCACTGGGGATTCCTGGGCTATTGGCATTCTAGCACTATGGTGCAAGTCACACGCACATCTGGCAGATCTACCATCTGATTGGAGCCCAGCATTGATAGTGCTGCTGTTCTGTTCTGTCACTTGGAGAAAGGAACTGAACCCAGCAGTGTTCTGCGTGGTCTTTAGGCTCAATTCCTACTGCATATGGGTGCCTGGCTGGTGTAAAAGAAGGGCCAATAGCTTCAGTTTTCCTTTCACTGGTCTAACAGCACCAGTTTCTACTGGTCTCTGTAGAAAGCAGCTTGCTCTTAGCCAACTGGCCCCACAGCCAAGCAGAAATGGCCTTGATCCAAACAGCAGGGGCAGGGAACTGGGGCCTTGGCATAATGTCTTACCAGACATCCGTGCACTCTAGCCCTTCAGGTTGGGAAAGAGGTCCTGGTAGATGTCTGGCTACTTTCTCCCTGCCCCTCTCTCCAGCATGAAGCTGGCTCCTCAGCAATAGCACTGGAGGGGGACATCCCAGCTCTCCCCATGTCAGTGTGTGTGCAGAGATATGTCCCGAACACCAGCCATAGGTAAGGTGTAGAGCCCAGTGTAGTGGTTACTGGCCGGCTACAAATCACTAGGCAAATGGCTGACCTTACATGTTTCTCCAGTATAGCACAGCTCAGGGCCATCAGCTGCTGTTTGGTATTTAAAATGGCATAGTAGCCTCTGCAGCAGGCCTGTTAATACAGCCGCACAACTGTGTTCTTCCTCCTTGCCTGTTGCATGCTGTCCACCAGGGGGTGTGGGAAGCGGGGGTGGGTGTCATGCTCCATTTGCTGTCATTTATTCTTTGGCTTCTTGCTTCAACCATGCTGCCTTTGAACCTCTTTTGAAAAAAGCTCACTGCCCCCTGGAAAAAGGGACAGGCTGCCTGTAAACTATTCCCGTCAGAGCGTTTGGACAGGGCTCGTGTTCTGTAACCCAAGCTGCCACAGCATTTCTTGGCTGTTACCATCAAAGCTCCCGCAGCAGAGCGGTTTTGCTGCTTGATTGTTGCAGGGCATCATTGGGTTTGAAAGACTTAAGCTTTAGTTTTTATGGTGGTATCACTTCTCCCTAACACACTAAGATACTAACTTGTAAGTGAGAGGATTGAAAAGAGAAACTTTAAGACATTAGCTTCCTCTGCCCAGAAACTGTTTGGCTAGTCCTTAAACCACAAACTAGTTTTCCTTCTTGTAATGGCTCCCTTCGTTTGTGTGGCCAGGTGCTTCAAACAAAGAAGGTGTCACGTCGCCAGAACCTTGAGCTGCAGAAGTGTGAGGAAATCCTCAACAAACTCATTAAGTACCGCTTCAGCTGGCCTTTCAGGTGAGGCACCTGGGGCTTCCTCCTTTGTCTGTACTGTCCCCTGATCTCTCTAGAGGAACTTGAAGAGTCAAGGGGTCAACCTTCATGCCCTCACAAATCCACAGTTACTAGCTCCCCCTAGTCATGAGGCCTGGGGTTTAGAAGCAGGCTACTTAAAGGGAGAGAAAGGGAGGTGGGTGTTTTTTTACACTAGTGTCCCCTGTGCTCACTATAGTCAAGATCAGTGATTCTTAACCTTTTTTGTACCAGGACTCCATTGTAAACATCAATGGCCTATCCCAACCCAGTAAATAGTAAAGTAGAAAACGACCCCTGGCCCTGCCGGTCCCGTGTCCCCATTCCTCCCAGCCCTGTTGGTGTCCCTTCATTTCTAACCCACTGCCCCCAGGCCACAGCCCCCCGGTGTACGGGGCAGGGGGTGAGTGTGGGGTGGGGGTTTTCATGGGGTGTCACCTGCCCCCCAGATTTGTGCACCCACAGCAGGTACTGGGCTGCAGCCTGGCTGGACCAGCAGGAGCCGCCTCCACAGCCCAGCAGGCAGGACCTGGCATGGGATGGTGGAGCAGGGCAGTAAGACTCATTCCTGCTGCCACTGGGCCCCCCACGCCAGCCGTGTCAACAGCAGCAAGAGGAGTAACAGATGAGTGGGGGGTGGGCGTGTACTGCCCTCACCTCCTCCCGCCTCCAGCTGCTTGCGTGCCAGGCCTCAGCTCTACCCCACCACCATGGCCTGGCTACCGCTGTGCCCCTCAGGCTGCCTGCATTGCCCTTCACCGCACCTTCCCTCCAGGGTAGAGCTGTGTTGCTGGGAGCTGCAGGCCTGTACTGCTGGCTGATTTTTAGTAGGCTTGGGTTTCTGTACTTTTGGCATCTAAATAGCACTAATGCCTGGCACTAATTTTTTTTCTTGTCTTTGTGACTCCTTCCTCGGCAGGGAGCCAGTGACCACAGAGGAAGCTGAAGATTATTTTGAGGTCATCAGCAACCCCATGGACTTCCAGACTATGCAGAGCAAGTGCTCCTGTGGCAATTACCGCTCTGTGCAGGAGTTCCTCTCTGACATCAAACAGGTGTTCTCCAATGCTGAGTGCTACAATCAGAACGGGAGCCATGTATTGTCCTGCCTGGAGAAGACGGAACAGTGTTTGATTGACATGCTGCACAAACACCTGCCTGGCCACATGTACACCCGTAGGAAACGCAAGAAGCTGCCCGCCAGACGCCAGGGACTGGAAGAGCAGGAGGGGGACAGTGAGCCGGAGGCCATTGAACATTCCAGGGGGCGGAAGAGAAAGAAATGAGGGACAGGGAGACGAAGGGGAGAGACAGAGCTGGAGCAGGCATAGTGGTGCTGCTGGGCAGCAGGAGTGGCTGGCTGAAGGGAGCTAGGAAGCAGCAGATACTTCTTTACTAATCCAGCCTTTCCTTTGACTGGTTCTAGATTTAATTTTTCTGTAACTTCTGGAAGTATTTGGTCATCCCTCAGGTTTGCAGAGATGACTTACTGCTTCCAGCAAAATACACACAACTCTTATGGGATGGTCCTGTCAAGAACGGTGGGAGGGCAAAGACCAGGGCAAGAGAAAGAACTGGCCGAGGCCTCATTGGACAGAGGAGTGTGAAGCCTACAACATTTTGGGGCATGGGTGGCTTTCTCAGAATGGAGCTGCTTCCCTTCCCCCCTGCCCCCCTCCCCCTCCCCCCCCTTCAGCTGAGCAGCCAACGCTGG